TAATAAAAATATGCATTATAAAACTATAAAATGACATTAAAAAAATTTGATTTTGGAGTTGAAATATCACTTGGCCATTCTCAATTTTCCAGAGATTCACTCATAATGGTAAAAAATAATAATAAATAAATAATTAATAACCACATTCATTTTCAGCAGTATTTCAGCTACAGTCAGACTGGTTTCCCCGGCTACAATTGCTAACGTCACCATACTACTTTGGGGCATATTACATGCTTTGATTATATAGGTAAGGTCACAAAGTCCAGGTTCACTTCAGGTTTAGGAAAAGAAAAGAGATACTGTTTGAATGAAAACGGAAGGAGAATGACACTGTACAGAAGCTAAACACTCCGATGTATCAAGTGTCTTTCTGACAGCCTGAGGCAAAGTCTGATGTGATTGGACACAAAAAGAGAGAGAGAGAGACGGAGATTAAAGAAACAACATAAACAGATGCAAATCATATTTTCAACCACTAAGACTAAATATTGCATGAAACGAGCCTTGTAGTAGTGCTCTGTATGTGCTTCCTCTCTGAGCTGGATCTAGTCTCTATTAGGAGAGGAATGCAATTACACACGAAACAGGGCAATGCTGAGGATACACTACACTCCATCGGCCTCCAAACAACACACACTCATATTACGCAGCATGCGTTCCTGACAGATTTGGGGTGTAAACATTTGCAGACACAGCTTTTGAGTGTCTTTTCCTTGTTAATTTGTACTTGGAGCTCAGAGTTGCTGTGAAAGTCTGCGCCAAATGGCCTGGTGTTACTTTGACGAGCTAATGACTACATATCTCATCTCTGTATGAACAGCACAGGCATCCTGACAGCAGCAGAAGTTTGTGAAATTCTGTAAGAGAATTCCACATGACAAGAAAAAGATTTGGTGGTCGAATCAAACGCCTTTTCCAAAGGTTCTCACCTATTAAATGTGACTATAACGTGTTTTGTGAATGTGGGTGTCTGTGTGATTGTATAACCTGAAGGTCAACTGGTTTCCAAGCCATTATCTACCACATATGCGAGCTCTTTGAAGTCAGACATCTACATAATCAGGAGCGAGAGAGCCGATGAGGAAAATACAAGTGACTCTGCATGACGGGCGACGGCTGAGAATGTCAAAATTAAAATAATCTGCCACTTCAGAGAGGGGAAATAAAATAAGACGACGAGACACATGTTTTGTCTAGTCTGGGTCTTGTGGTAATTACGTCTGCGAGACTGTGAGTTATTTAATTATTAGATTGTCATTGTTTCTTTCTCAAAACCTAATTAATTTCTCGATATGCTTCTTGGAAAGAAAAGAGAAGAAGCATGTTGAATTATTACCTGACAGATACACTGATTGTAACACTCGCTGAATTAATTACTATGTGTGTTTTAACTGACAGCTGAATAATGTAGATTTATCTGTTTGTTTCTTACAAAACTAATAAACCAAGAAAAGTCTTCATGGAAATGCACAGAACAACATTTGTGATCTGATGAAAGGAACATGGTAAAGTAATTATATCTGAATCTTTATGAATTTATTAAGCTTAGCAATTGGACACTATAAGGACAGAATATAATTATGACAAATGGACTAAAAATAAACCAGTGTTACTTTAGTATCACTGAAATAATATTATAGTTTTCATTAATAGTTTGAATCCATTTTTTTTTTTTTTTATATTTTCTGTTTTCATTTTAATTGTAAAGTTTTAGTAATTGTGTGTGTGTGTGTGTGTGTGTATATATATATATATATATATATATATAATTTTTTTTTTGTTTGTTTTTCTGCCAATGTTGGCAACTAGCTGAAACATTTTTATTTTTATTTTTTATTTTTTATAATTTATTCTATCTCAGCTAATGTTTATTTTATTTCAAGTAATCAAAATGTCTTTTCAATGGTTTTAATTTTAGATTCAGTTGTAATTAATTACAAAACCCTGCAAAAAATTGATACAAATTCAAACACAGTAGTTCTTCCCATATTACAGTACATATTCTGACATGATTTGTAGTGCAAAACTATGAAAACAACAATAAAAAGTGACTTTTCAGAAGTATTTTGAAATCTGTGTAGATATGGAGAATGTGGGAAAAGTACACAGACGGGACGGTTTATTTTGTCTGCGTGCTTGTGAGAGCATGTGGCCTGGTGACCTGTGCAATATCACAGACACAGACAAACAAACATGGCATGATAGCACTCAAAAAACACAAGCGCTGCTCACATCCTTGTTTGGAACCATCTCAATCGCTGATGCTGCATATTTATTTTTAAGACTTGACTTTCTGAATATTTCATCAAATAATACACTTACAAAAAAGTGCCATGGCTTTATTATGGGTTTTGAAAAAGGTACAGTGGTAATACTGTGTTTTTGAACATGTACCATTGTATTTTTTGAAGAATAATGAAATACCAAGCATTTAGTCAAAAATACAGCAAAACAGTAATATTCTGAAATATATTTAATATGCTGATTTAACAAGTGAACTTTTTAGCAAGTGAACTTTGTTTTAGATCTTAAATCTTTATATTTACAAGGGATTTGCAAAAAAAAAAAAAAATCCATATAAATGTGACTAAACAATTCAAATAATAAATAAAGGCAGAAATCATTCTAATTATGCTTATTTGGTGCTCAGAAAATATTTCTTATTATTATCAAAATTGAAAAAAAGTTGTGCTTAATATTTTTCTATAATATATAATATAATATTTTTTTTTCTTTTCAGGATTCTTTGATGAATGGACATTTAAAAAGAACAGCATTTATTTGAAATATAAATATTTATATATAACAGATTTTAAATGTCTTTACTGTCAGTTTTATGCATCCCTGCTAAATAAAAGTATTAATTAAAAAAATAAATAAACAAAACCTGACCCCAAAATTGTATGATAAAAAGTGTATAAAATAATTCAGATTTTAATAATAATAAAAAAAAAATAACACACCATAGTACTTTTTAAGAGTAAAATTAGTAAAATATTAACAAAGTAAAAAGAGTAAAATGAAAATTGGTATCCTTTCTCAGCCTTATGATCATTTCCCATCTTATCTTGTGTTTTTTATGAATTCAATCCCAGATTTATTGCTTTTGACACAATGTATCTGGTCCATGACTAAATCTTTTTTTGTATGGCCGGAAGGATGATCTTTGTCAAAAGCGTTCTCATCCTCTTGCCCTCTCTTTATCTCACCATCACAGTTTGAATGAACAGGCCTGAGGGTTCGTAACATCTCTTTTGCCATGCCAGTCCACCTGCAGCCTCACCTGTCTTTACCTCAGGGCCTCAGCACGGAGCAAAAGAACACAACCACTGAGGCCCACGACGCAGCTCTGGCTTATATTATCTGCAGGGGGCCTCACGACGGAGCTGATGTGTTTCTGACAATGGGCCTCAGCATGGAGCTCAACACCTACATCACAGACGGCTTTTATGGCTGTGGGAGCAGACATTTGAAATAATGCTTTAGATTGGCAGACGTCTCTGCCAGCATGTCCCCGTCTCACCTCCCACGGGGGACATCAATTTCGTCTTTTTTCCAGCGGATGGTAGGCTGCGGGTCTCCTTGCACCTGACAGCGAAACTCCACTGCCTCCTCCTCCAGAACCACCTGGTTAATGGGTCGTCGTAGGAACGTGGGCCTCTCTGAAAGACAAGCAGACGAGAAAAGGACATAAGGGACGCGGAGACCTCATTCACTCGCCGTGACTCAGCATCGAGTCACAGATCCCGAACAGAAGCTCTCACAGAGATTTGTGGTATTGTGTAAGTGTATCATACGCTTTTGTGTTCCAGCATGTTTTATGACTAACGTGAAGACACAAGCATAATAGAGGAATTAAACATGACACATTCTCTCATGCTGGAAAAATCTTTCCAACTTGCTTGTTTACAAAAGCATCAACTATGAGCTGAGATTTTAAACATTTTCAGAGCATGACTCAAATATTTGTTGATATTTTAAGACTTTTTTTGTGGTTTAGAAATGTCAGACTATAGTTGGCACATACCGAACACGGTGACCTGGGCCGTCTCACTGTCTCTCTCGCCGACCATGTTGGTGCCCACGCAGATGTATATGCCAGCGTCACTTTTCCTCGTGTTGGAGATCATCAGCTTCCCTCCACGGATCTGAAGGGGAAGACAGGAACGTTACAGTTTCTGTGACAACTCATGTGATAAGTTACTGCAGCACTCTCTGTGGAGCTACCTGAAGTTAAATGCCTTGCTCAAGGGCAAAATAGATGTGGTTTATGATTCACCTTTTGCTGGTTTTGAACCTTTAATGTTCTAGATTCAAAGCTAGATCATTAACCACCATTCCACACCTCAAATAAAGCTTTCTTTGTTGCAAAAAAGTGTCAATACCTTTAGAAACATTTATCTTTGAACAATACACCTTTGTAGACCGAATGTTTTTGCCTTAAAACAAAAAACGTTTTGGTTTTGAAATTTTTTATTTTTTTTTGGTCTTGCAAAATTTTTAGCAAGTGAATGTCGCAAAAAACAAATCAAAAACAAAACAAAACAAAACAAAACAAAACAAAACAAAACAAAACAAAACAAAACAAAACAAGGGCTTTAGAGAACAAAACAAAACAAGACAACAAAGCAAAACCCATATAAGTGTAACAAAATACATAAATGTAAATTTTTTTTCTTGCACAAGCAAGCAAGTGAATTTAAAGGATTTTGTTAGATTTTTTAAATAAAAATGTAAATAATTTATAACATTTATAATATTTTTAAATGATAAAATAAAATAAAAACACAATAAAATCCATACAAACAAACTGAATATGAATAGGGTTGAAAAGAGGCAGGAGATTTCTAGGAAAATTTCCAGAAACATTCCAGGATTTTTGGACACCTTCTTGGATTTTTTGTAAACTTTTCAGAAAAAAATTCAGCTCTTTGCAACCCTAAATATGAATTTCTCCATTTCTCACCTTGATCCTGTCATCCTTCTCATCGATTCGCACTTTATCTTTCTTCCAGTAGATGGTGGGTTCCGGGTGTCCACGAGGGGGAACACACTCCAGGATGGCTGGCTCTCCAGCAGCCACCACCACATCCGTAGGGTTCTGTCTGAAATCATCACGTAACACTGAAAGAGAGAGAGAGAGAGAGAGAGAGAGGAAGATTAGCTCGTTCTTTAACCATTTGCAAATTTAGTCATGCTTACAATCCCTGAGGCACAAATAAATTTTCTTTTGTTGCTGAAACAGATGTCATTTCATTAAGTCTTCTAAAACGTTAACACGCTCCAGCAGTGTTCAAATGTTAGCTCCCATTGAACAGGGGTGAGGAGAGACACCTGTTTGAAAGTTCTGTTAAGTATTTTGAGGTCACGGGAATGCCAGACACAGTAAATCACGCTGCGTATGAAGGCACCCGTCTACAGGAGGGTGTGTATGAGTTTTATTTGATAGGGTGACTACAAGGAAAACTTAATTGGACTTAATGGGGTTCCCTATTGAGACAGGAGAACAAACAGAGTGAGGGAAGACATATTGTGCCCTCCAGCTCTGTGTCACTCAAATGCGTGGAGCAGAGGAAGGAATGAACGGCAACACACACACACACACACACACAGTCGGTGGGTGGGTGGGTAAATCTGTGCCAACTAATCACCTATGCTCACACTTTCATCACCACCTATGCCTCTGGCCATGACTAATGTAGCAATAAACTCGACAGCAAAAACATACATGAGGTCACCCAATTATCAGCAATGAATAAATGCAATGAATTAATAAACACACCTGTACACATCTTCACATTCATCAACAGCACTTTATTAATGAATGAGTTGGGTAATTATACTCTAGCGCTGACCTGTGAGAGACAAAAGGATAGATCTGTCAACTGATAATGCGTTAATAGAGATAAATTCTCTCGATTTGTCTTAGTTAAGATTTATGAATCAGATAATGACTTTAAAGTGATTTAATAATAACAATGAAAAAGAGCACTCAGACTCAAAAATATAATTGGATAAATCATGTTTAAAGCTGTTCAAACTCTAACATGAGTTGAATGGTATATTAATGTGACAAATTTATTAGTACTTATTTTATGAAATCATTTTTTACACACTGACAGTAAAGAAAAATGTGGAAAACATTTCTACAAATAACATTCAAGTTTGTTAAAATAAATTACATTGTTATTATACAAACCACTAGATTTTGATATTTTCATATTACAGTGTCAGTGGTACATCCCTGCATTAAACATGCCATAGAGTTGCTAAGGTGTTTCGAGCAGTTTCTAATGTTTTGCAGTGCAGTTGCTAGGGCATTCTGGACAGTTGCTAGGTTGTTAGGTTATTGCCCAAAGAGCACACTAACAAGTCTGTATGATATTCTGGTCTCTTAGATACAGCTCCGGTCTTTCAACGCAAGTCTGTGACTTTTTTTTTCAATCACTTCAAAAAGTAACAGCACACCACTCCCTCAACAAACTGCATGATTTCAGACATCACTCAAGGGCAAGTTACATGCTGAAGTTTAATACTTAGAGATAGTGATTTGTTCAAATGAGAATAACGCTGTAAAGTAAGACAAAGCGCTGTGCATGTGTAGTTTTACATTTCTTAACTTCATGACTTTTTCTGGCCTCAGGCCGTATACAGACATTCAATACGCATAATTACATTTTCATCCTTCCAAAAGCCTCGACTTTCAGCTCTCTTACATGTCTCTTTCTCTCTCTCCGGGTGCGATGAGCCTCTCGATCTTCCATCTGATTAATATTTATGTATTGTTCGTCTCCCTCCCCCGCATGCTAGTGAGAGCAGCATCTGTCTGTCAGGCTGGAGGCTAAAGGAGAGGCTTATATGCCGAATATTCCTCCGCCACCCTCCTTCTCTTCCTCCTGGAGGACGGCTGGTAGAGGTGGAGGAGGTGTTTTTTGGGCTAACATTGGCAACTTTGCAGTTTCTTTGGCTAGATTTCAAAACTTTTGGAGTGAAGTTAAGGGTTTGAGGTGGAAAAGTATAACAGGAGATGATCCAATGGAAGGAAGCCAAGAGGATCATTAAAAAAAGGACAGATGCTACTTTGTACTTGTGTGTTTGGAGTTGTCAGATATAGTCAATGTCAAAGGCAATTAAAGGGCCCGATATTCCAGTGTCTTTTCTTTATTTTTTGCTACATGTTTGGCACCTTATACATCTAAAACAGCAAATCCTTGTAACAAGATTGTAAATGTGCTCTGAGATTGTACTACAGCCTAAAAATCTCTTATATGACTTATGTACTGCTGCTTTATAGGGCCAGTTTAACTAATAGCTTGTGCCAGCGCAAACCGTCTTTTGCCGTTAAAATAGTACTGTCAGGTTTTACTAAAGACGCACGGTGAGGAATGGGCGCTGAAAAGGCGTGGACAGAGTTATGTTTGCACCTGACCTTATTGAATATGCATTTGTTGGAGTTTCCCTTTCAGACGCAAAATTTATGGGAAGAGAATATTTAAATGAATCACGCAATGAGATTTACTAAAGTTTGCGCCACACTGTAAAAAATCCAACTTTCGAAAAGTTCTACTAATGTAAAAAAAGAAGCCTGAACAAAGAATTTTTAGTAGAAGACAGTTACATTTTTTGTGTGAACAGAAAATACTCTAAACACGTCGCTAACAAAAGTTGTTTTGTTTATCTTACTTAGATACTCAAGTATGTGTTCACAACATATCCAAATGGTGTCCCAACTTTTCAAATTGAGTCATCTGAACAAACAATTTTACACTGAACAATATTGCACAAGTTCCCAGCATGCATTGCAGCTTGAAAACGTTTTATGTTAATAATTACTAAAATATTATCATTGTTTTAAATTTTACTGGCTTAATTTATGCTGCTGCTGCTGTTGTCACTGTCAGTTAGCTGTCATGTGGATCAGAGTTCATATTTTTACTGATTTAAAATTTGTTGATACTCACCATGGTGAGAATCATGTGCTGAGGTACTGTATATGTGCATCTCATTGCAACTTGTTTAATACATTTGTCTCTGCATACACGTTTGCCTTTGCTTTTAAGAGGCAAATACTACCCATAAGATGTAGAAGGCTTTGAAAATACACATAAATCTAAAAGAAAGAGGAAAAAAGATTAGCATTGCTAAATGCTAAAACATCTTTGGTTGCTCTGACAGATCTCAGTAGACTGACTTTTATTCATTAGATGAACTAAAGTTTTTAAGTTGTCGGTTGCTAGTTGGGTTAACTTAACAAGTTGAGTGTGATAGGTTGCCTTATTTTTTTGAGTTAGGTCAACTTTTTTTTTTTTTTACAGTGATTATTTAACGCCCAAAAATAGCATGTCTTAAACTGCTTTGCACTTGAAATGGCTGCAATTATTGTTGCTAGAGGAGGCACCGCAGAGAACAGAGAGCACGTGGTAAGGGAGACGATTTTTCCACACGTATTCATTTATTTGAATGCCAGAAGAACACATTATCCGAACATATCGTTTGCCAAGCCTGGACATATGAGTGTTCTCCCAGCATGCTATAAGCAGTGATAGCATTTCATTTGAGTGCCTGTCAAAAGTGTTCACTACAGCTGATACTGTGTCTAATGTGGCTCTCGCATGAAAGAGTGTAAATATGTCACTTTGAGAGAAATAGCACTTTTTTTTCTCCACGCTGCCCCTGGCTCTGTGCGTATACATGCCTGTGTGTGTGTGTGTGTGTGTGTGTGTGTGTGTGTGAGTTACAGGCAAGAGTAATGTGAAAATGTGTCCCAGTCCATAGTGGGTAAGAAAGCTGTTCTATTTGTTTGCAGGGTATATCAGTCCTGTTATGAGCTCGAGCCCCAGTGACCCGTGCAAACCCCATCTACACACCCTCACACTGCAAATAAAGCCCTCCAGACACAGACACACACACACACACACACACACACACGCACACTCTATCTATCCATCCATCCATCCATCCATCCATCCATCCATCCATCCATCCATCCATCCATCCATCCATCCATCCTAGATTTTACATTTTTGGGTGAACTATTCTTTATAAAGTGGTAAAATAAGAAAACATGCATAAGAAAAACGGTTTGAAAAAGTGAATAAATTAACTATGTGTTTCTATATGCTGTATTTTTTTTAAGTAAATAAAAGATTATTAGAGGTGTTTTACAAGAAAATATTTATTCTACTTGCTATTTCTCTGTAATTGTTTGAGAAATTTATTAGCAATTTCTGAGTCAAAATAGTTGCCACACCAAATTTGTTTCAGTGCACATGTAAAACAGTCAACGTTTAGGGTTACAATGTCAAAATTACTGTATAATTAGCTTAATTTTACAAAAAAAAAACAGAAGGTCAAACGGAGGTGTATGTACTGGCAACCTCTCACCTCTCACCTTCAAAAGCCTCACCTCCACCGTTAACAAGACTGCCGCTAGCCAACCCGCTAATGACTTCCGCCCCATGCTAACGCCTCCGACTGGACCCTTGGCTCCGGAACACAAGCTCATCACAAACAATATAATTAACTCTTAATGAACCTCTCTGCTCGTTGCTCTGTCCTCTACATGCACTTCCCAAATTCAATTTAGCCTAATCCCAGGCTTTATGGTAATGTATAGCTCATTAAAATGTTAGCTAAAAACTCATTAAAATTCACTCAAAGTAATAGCTTCATTACTGTGATATTGCTGAAAAGCAAAGACAAAACGAGGAAGATGGGGAGAAGGAGAGAGGAATGATGAGAGAACGGGATAAAAAAAAAAGAGAATGACGGCTTTCTAATCACTTAATTGTATCTGAAAACAGCATTAATTTGCATAATACACACAGACACTAGGTGGCTAATTTTCACTGTGACTTGGTAATTAAACACCCCTCATAACTAAAGACACATTTCCTTCCAAAAAATAATTGAAGGAGGCACTTCAGGGTCTGTAAGAGATGCCAAATGTCTCCATCTTCCTGTGTTAAAATGACACCCTAACCAGCTGCAGAGAATAGAGACCCAGTGGATCTATCTACCTATCTATCCATCTATCTATCTATCTATCTATCTATCTATCTATCTATCTATTATCTATCTATCTATCCATCCATATTTTTCTCTGTCTGGTCATCTATTAGCCCATCCATCCATCCATCCATCCATCCATCCATCCCTGTTTATGTCTGTCTGTTCATCTATTAGCCCATCCATCCATCCATCCATCCATCCCTGTTTATCTGTCTGTCTGTTCATCTATTAGCCCATCCATCCATCCATTACCAAGGAGGTAAGAAGACGAAAGAAAAAAAGAAACAGCGTGATCCACACACACCGCAGATCGTCAGACACTTCAAAAGCCACCCACGTGTTCCAAAGAAAGTTCCAGCAGCCGTACCGTGAGCCTGATCCACCGTAATGAACAACTCCTGAGTTTTGAAGCCTTGGCGGCGCAGTGAGAAACCTGCTACAGCGAACGCCTGATCAAAAGCCAAACCCTCTCCCTCCTTCGAAGCTCATCTACTATTTCTACACGCTTCGGATTCACACGAACTTCCAAAGGAGATAGCAAGCGAGAAAGAGGGAAAGATTAATAAAATGAAGGCTGTTCCTTATTCCACAGATATCAAAGATCTCCATCGCTTGAGAAGGTGCTGAACTTTTCATTTGGTCTATTTGTGTTGTGACTGAAGAGATGGCTTTCCTGAGATCTCCCTCTGCTCCATCCTTTCTCCTGCTCTTTAATTAGTTTGTCAAGATGGGGAAACGTCATGAAAAACGTGCTTGGGGAACTCTTTTGTATCAGACCTGTGGTCAATTTATACTCTCTCTATCTCTTTCTATGTATATATATATATATATATATATATATTTCTTTGTGGGTCAGAGGTATTTTAGCATGGCTGCCTTTTGGATTTTCCCTCTGCCTGCATGGTTTTAGCAGAGACATGTCACTTCAGATGAGTGGGGTTTAGACTGGAAATGGGCTGAAATCAATCTCTTTCTCTCCCTTTTAAAGATTCTCTCCATCCCTAAAGGAACAGTTGCAAGAAGACAAGGAATAGCATAAGGTAAAACTATGACCTATTAGCTATTTTTCCATCATGCTTGGAATTTTTTCATGCAATGTGTTTTGGTGGGATTCATTCATGTGGAAGTGATGCACTGTGACGCAAACTCTGCTGGGTGTGACAGAAGCCAGCTGCATTGTGAAAACACATTCACACAAGCAAACACAACATTTCAATACAGTAACAGTGTGAGCTACATCCAGTAAGAGAGAAATTTAATTTGCGACTTCTCATATGCCAATTAAGGATTTTTCCATTAAATAGCACTGAAAAAAAATCTACAACTACGCATTCAGCAGATGAAAATTACATTCATGCGTTTATGCAAAATAAAATGTGAATTTCCCATAAAATATCTAAAATATATTTTCTGTCATCTTTAATTAAAGGAATATTTCACACAAAAATAAAAATATGCTGATTATGTATTCACCCTGAGGCAATCCAAGATGTAGATGAGTTTGTTTCTTTATCTGAACAGATTTGTAGAAATGTAGCATTACATCAGTTGCTCACCAATGGATCCACTGCAGTGAATGGGTGCCGTCAGAATAAGAGTCCAAACAGCTGATAAAAACATCACATTAATCCGCAAGTAATCCACACCACTCCAGTCCATCAATTAATGTCTTGTGAAGTGAAAAGCTGCATATTTATAAGAAACTAATCCATCCATAAGATGTTTTAATTTTAAACTTTTGCTTCCAGTCAAAACATGAGTCCATACTCCAAGTGAAGCAATAGCTAAATTTCTCAAAGTCTGAGGAAGAAACAAAGCCTATTTTTATTTTTGCATGAACTATTCCTTTAAGAAACAGATCCTGAAGCTTCAGGATTTGACATTGTAGGTTGACCTTAGCAACGTAACATGAGCCCTACGGTGGAGCACCGCGAAGAGGCCTAATGCTGGTGTTCAATAGAGCGTCATTCAGGCTAACAGTTTCACTTCTGTGCAACACGCACATCCACACGCACAGACACAATGGGGCTGAAAGAGAATCTGTGTCGTTTGCACTGATTGCAGTCTTCTACTTTAATGCTTTGCTGCAGTTAATTGAACTAGATGGTGGTTTGTGAAAAGGTGTCTCATATCAACTGCGTCCCTTGTTTAATTAAACTCTCTGCTGGAGACGCCACATTAATGAACCAGCGCTGAGCCTCTGAGTGAGTGTAGATGTGTGTGTGTGTTCAACTCACAATGACATTACCTCTATCTATCTATCTATCTATCTATCTATCTATCTATCTATCTATCTATCTATCTCTCTCATCCATTTGTCTGTTCATCCATCCATTTATCTATCTATCCATCCATCCGTCTGTCCATCCATCCATCCATCCATCCATCCATCCATCCATCCATCCATCCATCCATCCATCGTGTGTGTGAGAGAGAGAGAGAGAGTGAGAGAGAGAACTTACAGGGGTCTGGTGTTAAATCTAAGTCAGCTCTCAGCTCTCACACTGACGTTAAAAATTATTTATTGATGGTTTTATGGATCTTAACAGAAGAGGAAGAGTGAAAATTACACTGGATATGCTGATGACCTTTACAGCAGTCTGTGCCATGAATAGATGGAAAGAAGCCGGTGTGTGTGTGCTTGGAAAAAGTGAGTTAGATGAGGAAATGCGATATGTGAACATTCTGAGCATCTTTCTGCAGTCATTTGTGGCCGAGTTGCACGTGCGTGTAGCATCGGAGGACGAGATTAATGGACCTTCAGCTTAAATGAACCAAAGCAAAAGAGAGAAAGAAAACAGACAGTGCGCTGCTAACCCTTTACAGCTAAACACTTGAAATAAATTCATTGGTATGTTTGCAAACTCAGTATCTTTTCAACATTAGCCACAGCTCATCAAACACACACACATGCACAGCGAGTTGAGATGGAAAACAGAAGAACATTATTCCAGCACCAGTGACGAAGCTGTATCTCTTGCTTTGCATCACATTCAACAAAAGACTGAAGTCTTATTGTCAGAACAGCTTATATAAACCTGCACATCCTTGTACATCACACAGCTGCACATCAAAACACACCTGGTGCCTTCTTCACAGATGTTTCTTTCTGTCTGCAACGGTTTCTCACAATCCTTAAAGAGATCTAGCCTGCTTTCTGTACAATTAGCCTGGGTCTGAACTGCTCCACAAAGTAGAGATAAACACGCATGATGAGACAAAGCCACATACGACCCTTTCCACGCCACACTGAGTCATTTGTACCATGCTCTTGCTGTTAATTGCATCACAGACTGCGGGAGGTAATTGTGTTTGTCTGGATGTAATTGGCTGGCTGCCGCAATGCAGTGGGAACGGATCTTCTATTGCTTTCAGAGCGCTGCTGCTCTTTGTATACAGCAGCGGATCTAGTTCCAAAACATGTTTTAGGGAGAACCATCAGTCAGATCTGACAGAACGGTCTGATTCAGTCTATCTATCTATCTATCTATCTATCTATCTATCTATCTCTCTCATCCATTTGTCTGTTCATCCATCCATTTATCTATCTATCCATCCATCCGTCTGTCCATCCATCCATCCATCCATCCATCCATCCATCCATCCATCCATCCATCCATCCATCCATCCATCCATCCATCCGTCTGTCCATCCATCCATCCATCCATCCATCCATCCATCCATCCATCCATCCATCCATCCATCGTGTGTGTGAGAGAGAGAGAGAGAGTGAGAGAGAGAACTTACAGGGGTCTGGTGTTAAATCTAAGTCAGCTCTCAGCTCTCACACTGACGTTAAAAATTATTTATTGATGGTTTTATGGATCTTAACAGAAGAGGAAGAGTGAAAATTACACTGGATATGCTGATGACCTTTACAGCAGTCTGTGCCATGAATAGATGGAAAGAAGCCGGTGTGTGTGTGCTTGGAAAAAGTGAGTTAGATGAGGAAATGCGATATGTGAACATTCTGAGCATCTTTCTGCAGTCATTTGTGGCCGAGTTGCACGTGCGTGTAGCATCGGAGGACGAGATTAATGGACCTTCAGCTTAAATGAACCAAAGCAAAAGAGAGAAAGAAAACAGACAGTGCGCTGCTAACCCTTTACAGCTAAACACTTGAAATAAATTCATTGGTACGTTTGCAAACTCAGCACCTTTTCAACATTAGCCACAGCTCATCAAACACACACACATGCACAGCGAGTTGAGATGGAAAACAGAAGAACATTATTCCAGCACCAGTGACGAAGCTGTATCTCTTGCTTTGCATCACATTCAACAAAAGACTGAAGTCTTATTGTCAGAACAGCTTATATAAACCTGCACATCCTTGTACATCACACAGCTGCACATCAAAACACACCTGGTGCCTTCTTCACAGATGTTTCTTTCTGTCTGCAACGGTTTCTCACAATCCTTAAAGAGATCTAGCCTGCTTTCTGTACAATTAGCCTGGGTCTGAACTGCTCCACAAAGTAGAGATAAACACGCATGATGAGACAAAGCCACATACGACCCTTTCCACGCCACACTGAGTCATTTGTACCATGCTCTTGCTGTTAATTGCATCACA